AGTTCCATCTACTTTATGCTGCTTGTAGTTTTTGACACCTAACCTTTTCATTTGTGAAGTATGTTTCTGTTCTTCCGGGAAGGAAAAAAAACAGTGTCAGAAACATGATTTTTGGTCACCACACTATAAGATGTAACAGATAATCAGAGTTGGAAGGGACCTTGTAGGTCATCTAGTCCAACCCCCCCCCAAAAGCAGGAGACCCTACACCATTTCTGAAAGATGGCTGTCCAATCTCTTCTTGAAAGTCTCAAGTAATGAAGCTCCCACAACTTCTGAAGGCAAAGCTGTTCCATTGGTTGATTGTTCAGAAAGTTTCTCCTTATTTCCAGGTTAAATCTCTCCTTGTTCTGTTTCCATCCATTATTCCTGTTGAGACTAAAACAAGTGCAGGAAAGAGCAACCAGGATGATGAGGGGACTGGAGGCTAAAATATACAATGAACGATTGCAGGAACTGGGCCTGGCTAGTCTATTGAAGAGAAAGGCCAGGGGAGACAGGATAGCAGTCTTCCAATATTTGAGGGGCTGCCACAGAGAGGAAGGGGTTAACCTGTTTTCCAAAGCACTTGAAGGCCAGACAAGGAATAATGGATGGAAACTGATCAATGAGAGATTCAACCTAGAAATAAGATTTTTTTTCTGACAGATCAATCAACCAATGGAACAGAAGTCGCCTTCAGAAGTTGTGGGAGCTTTATCACTGGAAGCTTTCAAGAAGAGACTGGACTGCCATCTGTCAGAAATGGTGTAGGGTCTACTGCTTGGGCAGGGGGTGGGGGGTTGGACTAGATGACCTACAAGGTCCCTTCCAACTCTGATGATCTGTTATCTGTATTAAATCCTTAACCAAAGAATGAAGTGCTGGTTGAAGAGGAGAAAGTACGTGGAACCTGGAGGTTGGTGGGTGGGGGGAAGGGACTAATCTCCTTGGAGTTCAAGATGCAAGAGAAATCAGACGGTAACCATGCATCTCATCCATGCAAAAGCTGCACCTCCTCCCCACAAAGCTGCCCCCTCCCTTTTTAATGGAGATGCCTTCCTGCCTTCACTGATCTCACCAGTCTCGGCTGAGGTGGTCCCGAATTACTTTTAGATGCTCTGTTGTGGAAGTGACGCTTTCCCTCTTATCCCAGTTCAAAACATCCCATCTGGACGACCCATGGCTTAATGGAGGGTGAAGACTTATGATGACGGAGAGATTAAAACCTTAAGATTAATATCTTCCTTGATAAAACGAAGATTTAAGGTGGAATTTGACTGAATCCTGAGGTAAGATGGGTTTGATGCAGGTGCTAGTTTCAATATTACTGTTAGGGTCCCAAATAATAACTCCATAGCAAGCAGAACTTGGGAGGCAGCCATATTCCTCCAAGAACAATTTTATTGGAGACATCGTATCGGCACAAACTGGTGAAAACTGACTCTGAAAGTTCCCGCGATTTTCACCTGATTAAACAGAAGTTCTCCCTTTCCCCGCACAGTCACATTGCTCAATCAAGGTGCTGGCTGGTCGCCTGGTAACCAGACTCCTCCTCTCAGCAGTCACCTGTTGGAATGTCCTTGGTTCCCACAGGAAACTTGTTTTGGCTACAAAAAAAGCAACAACCCACCATCTAACTATGCTTCCCCTCCCTATCGCATCTTTGCATTGTGGCAATCCTGAAGCCTCCAAAATGGTCCCAGCCAGGTTCGCTTCAGAGCTGACAATTACACTAACTAGGTGAGAGGCTAAACTGCAACATGCCAGGTTAGTTGGGTTCATATTCTCACAGTTAGCTTTAAGATAGTTTGGTTTTGGCTTTCTGAAACCAACCCCTGGAACCAAAAAGGTTGGGAGCCACTGCCTTAAAACAAAGGCAGACTCACAGATTTAAGCGAGGGTTCCTCCTCAATCTTTTTTGATCGCAGCGTAAACTGATATGTCAACAGCCCTTTCCCTAAATCAGGGGTAGGGAAACTTGGCTCTTTTATCACTTATGGACTTCAACTC